TGAAAAATGCCTTCATGCTCAATGAATCCCTTTATCCCTGCTGCGTAGTTTACTTTAATTTGCCTTCCTGATTCTAGTTTGTTTGTTTTTTGTTTTTCCAGCAGAAAATTGTCTTTTTGACTGGAGACATCAAATATATTGGGGTTAACTGAAGGGATACAGCCAAGCTTAGACTGGATGTTCTCGTATATGTGAGGATGTCTATGCAAATCTAATTGCTGACTTGTGTAATGATGGCATCCACGGAAAGCCAGCTGGTCCCCGTTGATGCTAGGAGCTATTGGCTGCAGGGTTGTTCCTAACATCCTCACACTGGTGAATGTCACTGTTTTATCATTGGGAAACCATCCTCTCGCTGGGCAGCATGAGCTGTGGTCTGTCTTTAGCCTCCTCCCCAAGCTGAGAGTATTTGGGAAATACTTTTTTTTTTTTTTTTGTGGGTCAAGAATTCAAAAATACTCATGACATATTTTTAGGGATCAGCAGCATAGTAGTGGTCAGCAAATCCATGTTGGTTTTGCTTGATCTGCTACATTTACCTCATGCTGCAATAAGATTTGCTGGTGTCTGTTATAAAAAGCCAGAACAAAAGTTCCTTTCTGTTGACAGAGATAAATGCTGAGTAGTCTACTGAGGTGTTTCTTTATCTGGCTTATGCAGATGATCTCATCTAATGTCGCCATCGTTATCAGCACTTGCTTTGCGTTCCCCACCCGGGGAGGTGAGGAGCACTCATCCCTCGGGCAGGGCAGGACAGAGCGGGCTGTAGGGAGCGATGCCCGCACCCATGCCCGCGTGGCAGGAGAAGAGCACTCGGCTGAAGTGCTTTACTGATTTATTGATGAGGTGCAAACAATTGGCCATCACTGAAGGATCAGGATCATTATCAGCAACACAGAAGGTAAATCCTAGTGCTGGATGCTTACAAGATTTCTAAACATCCTTCTGTACCTGATCCCCACCCGGTCCCCACCGAATCCAGCACACTTGCACACGTACACAGTTGGTGCCACTCCCCTTCTCTACAAAGGAGGGTGGGTTCCCCCATTTGTGCTCCCCAGTGCTGGCACCCTGCTGTCCTGGCAAAGATGTTTTGTTTACAGAGTGATCCCACTGACAAGGTTTTTGCATGGCATGTTGGTAAGCACCAGATAAGCTTTTACGTGCTGCTCCCCAGGGCACCCAGCCATCAAGCACTGGGCTTCTTGGTGCCGGGCGGTCCCTGGAGCTGGTCCAGCCTCCCACTTTGTGGCAGGGGAGACTGGGGACAAGCTCTGCTTTCCTGATGATGAGAAGAAAAGTCCTGGAAACAGTGGCAGGGGAGACAGGTTGGCTGTCTGGTGGGTGAGGAAGAGTCTATTCTTCCCTTTTTGCAAGAAAATTTGTTGTCTAGAAGGGGGGTTTGAAGCCTGACTTTTGCATCCTTGCAGCAGAGCCTGGGCCTGGGTAGGTACTTGGGGCTGTGTCCAGCTGAGCATGGGTCCCAGAGAGAGCTGATTTGCTGGGTGGTGCCTTACTTGGGAGCCATGGGTGCTGCATTGCTAAACAGAGGGAATAAAGACTCCTGACACCCCACTCCTCCTGCCAACCCATCCCCGGACTGGAGCCATGCTTTTTTGCTGTGTGACAGCTTTCGTGGGGCTGGGTACGGCCCCTCTGCTAGCCCTGGCAGTGGCTGGAGCCTCGCTGAGCCCGTAGCATGGCAGCGAGGGTGGGCAGCCCCAGCAGGCCCTGCCGGGGAGCCAGACCCTTCCCTGCGGGTGCTGGCCTGGTGTCTGCAGATGAGGAAAGCCCAGAAGAAGGTGGTGCCCCAGGTCTGCTTTTCAAAATGACTGCTAATTTCATGTTTTTAATCTGTCAAGGATTGGGTTCTCTGCAGTGACATCTCACAGCATCCAAACATTTCCTGGCTCCCCATGAGCTGCTCCCTTGGTGTTTCTTGCTGCCCTGGGGAGCTGGGAGGCTCATGTTGGCTCTTCACTCACTGTGGGCACAGCTGAAAGCTCGGGGACATGGGCAGTTTCCCCAGAGGGTGGTGGAAGCCAGTGGCACCCTGGTTCCCCCCTCTGCTTCCCCTCTCCCTGCGGGCAGGGCAGCCTCAAAGGGAACTTTCCTCCTCCTCTGCCCAAGCCTGGTCTCCCAGCTATGGGTTGAATTCGAGCTTGGAGCACCAGGAACACAAGCAGCTGCCCCAGCACTTTGCCTCCTCAGACAAAAGCATGGCTTTGGGTGCTCTAAACCTTGCTGGTGACCAAGGATGTGCCCTGCCTGGGGCTGCAGGCTGCCCCCCAAGTCCGCCCTTCCTGCTCCCTGTCCTCCAACCCTTCTCCCCCTCCCTCCCTGGCTCCTTTAAATAAATCTTGGCATTTTGAAAGCCCATTTTCTCCCACAGCCTATGTGTCAGCACTAATCTGGAGACAAACAGCCACATTTATAAGAAGGAAATAAAGACTCAGCTCCCACTCGGTGGCATAAAGCGAGGGGCCATTCCTGGCGTGCTGGGGATGCTGCAGGGATTCTTTACTGGACAAAGAGGCAATTGATGAACTAGGTCATGGTGGGAGGAGATGGTACGTGGGAAAAGCACTGAACAGAGGGGCCTATGAAAAGGAAACTATTCCCTATGGTAGAGGCAGCTGCAGGCAGCCTGTCTTGCCCAAGGGGACCTGTTGTGCCTGTACCTATGTCACCCTGCAGGCAGGAGGGTCTCTAAGGTGGCTGGGGATCAGGGCACCTGTAAGTGTGCTGCTCTGCTGAGGAAAGGCTTCTTTTTTTTTTTTTTGTTTGTTTGTTTTGTTTTGTTTTGTTTTGTTTTGTTACGGATGGGTGCTGAAGTGTGCTTTTGGAGCTTACTGGGTAAATGTGTCTCTGGTAGCTGGAGCAGCAGTTGGGGATGTTTGCTGCTGAGTGACTGGCACTCCAGGGTGAGGTTGTGGCTTGCTGTGTTACTGTTTTGCCATCCACGCAACAGGAGACGGCAAACCTGTGTCCCAGGACTGGGGGCAGGAGTGTGTAAACCCTGAGAGTGCGTCCTCAAAGATGGGTCTGATTCCATTCCTTCTCCATGTTTTGTTGGTGGCTTGGGGTCAGCAGGATCCATCAGACGCTGTCAGTGTCCCCCTTCTGTCCTGGCCAGTTGTGCGGAACGTGGAAGAGATCTTCTGTGTCTTGCTGACTGAGGGAACTGTGTTTCAGACGACACTAGCTGGCAGGAGCGGTGACCATCCCAAAGCAAAATCCTCCAGGCAGATGTCTGCAGCTGCATCCTATCATGGGATATTCCTTTGTTGCCTTATCCTTGGGTCAGAGCAGGGTTAAACCTGTGGCCCTGTAACCTCTTTCATGTGCCCTGCCTGATGGGAGCTCTCCACTGATCCCGGGCATGGGCTCCCCGGTTCATGAGCAGTTCTGGAGCTTTGATCCTGTGGGCGTTCGCAATCAAGTTCGCAATCAAGACCTGTGTGTTGTGTTGATTTTGCTGGGAATGGATTCCTGCAGCCTGTGTGGGACTGTCCTGTGGTGGCAACTTTGGGATCTGGCTGCTTTCAGAAGTTTGTGCTGTCGTTCCCCTGCATTGTTGTTCCCCTTCCCTGAGTCTCAGCCTGGAGCTTGCCTGCTTTTGTGTCGGGGATCCCTGCCCTGCTTGGTACTATCTGCCCGTCTGCACCGTATCCCAGCCCTCGGCTCTCCCTGAATTCCTGCCCTGCTTAACTCTGCCACATCTGTCTGTCCCTGTTTGACAGCTCTCTCTTTGGGTCTTGGCTGGACTGGGGGGTGGCTGGTGCAAATATTTTACACACATCTCTGTGTAGGTTTTACCTCGCCCTGTAGAAGCAAAGTAGTGATGGAATAATCCACAGGATCAAGGGATGCTGATACAGCTCCTGTTTGGTGCAAGATCGAGGACAAAAACTTAGGGAGGGCAGAGCTTACCTTTGCTTCAGCTGGAAGCATTAAGGAGTTACCCATTATTATCTCCTCTGGTTACAGTCTGGCAAAGCAGCTCACCAGGCCCCAGGAGTCAGAGCACGTGCTGTGACTGTGGAAGGTGCTCAGACAGCTTTGCAGTGTACCAATGGTTGTTTACAATTATCCAGAAATAGATGCTTTGTTCGCCTCACTCAGGGTATCAGAAGCCTGTTAACTGCTGGATTGACCCTCCCTGCATTTTTGGAAGTAGAGGCAAGTGATGCGGGAGAATGGGAAGGATGACATGTGGCGTTGGAGGAGTGTGAACCTGCTGCTATAAAAGGCAAAAGGGGAATGGAGGGAGGAGACTGGAGAGAGAAGTGTGAGAACCAGAGCAGTGGAAAACGAAGACAATTTAGCAGAGACATTTGGGACTTGGAGTCGAATTTGGGATACACAGACAGGAGGAGAGTTGCTGGAGCGTTTCCTTTTTCTGTGATTCTTTAGGGCTTATAATGAACTGTAGGCACCTGCCAAGTGAGAACCCTTTTAGGACTGAGTGTTTCCTGCTAGCACACTCAAGCCATGGTCCTCATTCTGCAGTAGTAGTAAAGTCCTGTCTAGAGCTCTGGGGTAACAGATGTGGCATTAGCATGTGGCACGCGACCTGTTTAGACACAGGTCGTGTGTCTAAAGCCCAATTTAGACACAGTGGCTTTTAACCTAACATAAGCTAGCTGAGCAAACTGAGTCCCCTGGACTTTTCCTGTGCTGCACTATCATGTGTTCAAAGTGATGCATCCTATCGTAATATCTTTAGAAGGCGTTAGAAGGAAAGTCTAATATATCCTAGTTTGGCATCTTTAAGTCCTTGTCTACAGAAGTTCGAATACAACTTGCCTAAGGCAGGCCTGAGCCCCAGGAGACAGTGCCCATGGGTGCTTCCCAGTGCAACGTGTGCCTCAGGGTACATCATCTGGGTGCCTTATCTGCTTTCCCCCTGCTTCATCCAGACCTGGTCTCTAGTGCAGGTATTTGTTTTGATGTCCAAATGCCGCCCTTGGCTCACTGTGAAATACGTTGTGTTTTAGCTGCTGCCCCCATGATGTGTGAGGCAGAGCTGATCACACCGGAGCCCTCTGGCCCCGTGCAGTACTGTGGTGAGTCCTCCGACACCTACTACCACGTGGACCGCTGGCAGAGGCTGCGCACAGCTGTCAGAAAGCTGGAGTTCTGGGAAAACTTCAATGCTGAGCTGATAGGCAGCGGCTTCTTCTCCAAGGTCTACAAGGTAAGCTGACATGCAGGCAGCCCCCTATCTGTGTTAGAGCAGCTGAGCAGCTATTGAGGCTGTGTAGATGGTGCCTCACCTGAGGAATCTGTCCCTGAGCTTATTTCCTTCATCTCTTCAATCTTCATCGCTCCCAGCTCACTCTGGCAGGTTGGATGGGGTGAGGGAGGAAAGGACACCCTCCTCTACACACCCAGCACATAACCTTTGGTGCAAATCTCCCCTTCCATAGTGAAAAAGGAGATGGGAGGACTTGATCAATGTTCACTGATACTGCCATCTAGCCTTAGAACAGGCTTGTCAGGGAGCTAAACTGGGTACTGGATGAGATTAGGGGATGTTTATGCTCTGTGCAGATTTTGTTGTCAAAACTGTACTAAAATTATATAGAGACAAAGAATGTAAAATTAAGCTCTGTGTGTCTCCCAGAATACTTGCCACCCACACGCCATGGAGAGGCCAGTGTTGTCATTCCTCTCTGGCTGCTGCCCTGCGTTACGGTGATGCTGGGAAGAGCTGGGGACCTGGGATGGGGGCAGGCTGGGACAGGCTGCTGGTTGTCCACTTCTGCCTCTGCTGCCTTCATGTCAGGAGACCCATGGCTCCTTGCAAGGCAGTACATGATGCGGATGGTGTGTCACCAAAGCATAACTGCTTTTCTCATTGCAGCTGTTGTGAGTCACTCCCTGCACTAAGCTCCACTAGTGTGGGAGTTTGTTTAATCCTCTCTGAGCAAGCACAGGATCCAGGGTGCTGCTCGCTTTGCTCCCCCTCCCATGCTGCTCCTCACCCCAGGAGTGCCACTGCTTATTTGGGGGGAGTGGATGGGACTTGAGGCTCTTTCCCTGCAGCCCTCAGTGATCACTGCTCTATGAACAGCAACGCAAAAGGAGGTGCCTCATGTTAGGAAATGAAATTCAGCCTTCATCTCTGAGAGCAGGTGCCACATTGCTTTGCAGTGTGGCCAGGTTTGCCCACCTTACCTCTCCTCCCAGCAGCCCTCCAGAAGGTGGCTGCTGACACTGGTCTTGGTTGTTGGGACATTGGCAGACCCCGTGGAGACAAACTGGGCCTGACTCTACCATTGCCTTCATCTCCTTAGCTTGACTGGTGCCACAATAAACATCATGACTGCACATTTCTCCTGGGCCGGCATAAGATGCGTCTGCCAGAGGGGTACTCTGGCACATTCTGGGTGATCCCTGGCTGGCACATGTGGCCCATTGAAACTAAGGGAGCCAGGCTGGCAGGATCTGGCCATGGAATTGCAGAAAATACCCAGGTTGGATAGATAAACACACACTGCTTTCTCAAGGCTCTGTCTCCTCCTCTACTGCATCCGGGCTTGGTGCTGTGGTAAAGCCTTTGGGTGAACTTCAGGCTCAGGGACGTTGCACTAAAGCTGTTCAAGGAGAATCTCCAGCCAAATGTCTATGGCTGCTCTTGGCAGACTGGAGCAATACATGACAAATACCTCGCCCCACCACAGCTTCCCTCTAGTAATTGCTTTCACCACCTACACAGCCTACTGTTGTCATCACTTTCTCTTTCTTTTATCTAGCAGATTTTCATAGTGCCAGTTGCTGTTTCCTCCCTGCATGACATTTTCCTCCTGCCCTGGCAGTGAATGAAATTCCTGCAGTAGGCAGGCTGGAGACACGGACCTTGAATGAAAACAAAATAACTTCTTGAAGTAGAAGCAGAAAAAGAAAGGAAAAAAAAAAAAAAAGCTTGAATTAAATACTATGGGTCAGAAGACCGCAGAGGAGGGCTTGGGACAAGGACAGTCCTTTGTGGGGACTTGACATTTGTCTGGGGACTTGAGTGTGACTGTAACCAAGTGCTTTGATAACTCACAGTCCTCTTGGGTTAGCCAGTCCCCTGTGGACTCATAGGCCTGAACACCAGCACTTCTGCTGTGAAGCCTCAGTGGTGATGGTCCTTTGAAGCTCTTTGCCAACAGATGCTGTCTTCAAAAGCACTCCTGCAACAAGGATATAGACTTCCCAAAGTGCTGGCACTGGCTGTGCTGGCTGACTGTTGCTTTTGCCATTCTTTATCCTTCACTTAAGGAGGAGATGTTACATGGCTGAGGAAGGAGGATTCGCTTGGTTCTACTTGATGACTCAGACTCGAGAGGTCTGGGCGCAGCCTTCTGCTCTGTGGGTTATGTATTGCATGACCTGGGTGCAAGGTACTTTCTCTCTTTCTCTGCCTTAGTTTTCTGATGTGCAATAAGGAGCTATTCAAGTATGAGTTTGTCTCAATGAAAGCGTAAAGCTTCCTTCATTGGCAGCTCGCTCATACATAGCGTTCTGAGATGCTCAAAAGCAGGAGAGAAATGCAACATGACTTTTTTTTTTCTGAGTCTCATTTAATGCATTACCCGAAGGAAGCCTCTGAGCAACCTCTTTCTTTGTTGGCCCTCATATGCATTAGGAAGCACAGTCCCACTTCCTGTCTTTCTGCAACTTTCCAGTGCCAGATTTTCACCTATATTTCTCCACTCAAGGCTGACACCAGATCTTTACCCTTCATCATTCGTTAGCATGAAATGAGAATACCTTGGAGGCTCCTGTGTACTTTCCTGGTTCCCACACTGATCCAGGACAAAACCGGGCACTTAGCATGATTCAGAGTGGACCAAGGGCTGCTCCAGTTTGGCCATAGCAAAGTCTTAGGGTCTGTGGCCTTGGAAGAGGCCTTCTGAGCCATAACCTTTTCCCAATCTCTCCCACTGCTTTTTTTGGAGGGTGTGGGTCTATCCTTGCTTTCCAGTCACTTCTTCTCCAGCCCAGGCTGGACTTCACATTGCCCTGTGGGAAGTAACCAGTGCTCACCAACTGTGCCAAGCCAGGCAGTGTTTGTGAGCTCTGGTGGTGTCCAGCTGGGACTTGCAACCTCACCTGGAAGCTCATTGAAGCTCAGTGTCTCCACCAGAGTTTGTGCAGAGCTAGTGGGTCTCACTGAAACAGTATTAGCGCTTCTGAAAGTTTTTCAGATCTTCCAGATTTCAGCTGCTCCCTGTACTCTATCCTTGGCATAAGGGAACTCACAGTCTTTGGGCAAAGATGATTGATAGCATCTCTTAGATTTACATCTGTGCAATGACAGTTAATAATCAGTTACATCTGATTAGTGACCCACAGTCCATGATTTTGAAGTCCCATCAAGTGAGGGTGTCAGAGCCCTGGCTTCCCCACGGCCTGCTGAAGGCACACTTACTCCAGCGATAACATCGACAATCAGTTTGAATCATTCAGAAAGGAAGCAGCAGTTCATTTTGCTCCCAAGACAGTTTATTTTGTGACCCTGATTATAATGAACCTTTCTCTCCTTTCAGCCTTACATGCGGCTCTTTGTTCTCCTCACCTGGGCTAGTGACCTTGTATGTAAAGTAACCATCACAGAGAGCAATGGGGACACTTTGGGACTGAGTGCTGTTCTCATAGCCAGCTCATGCTGTTTCTAAACTATTTTCCCCTTAAAACAAACAAACAAGACCCCACAAACCTTAAACACGTGGCTGGATTCTCTGCTAGCTCTGGGACAGCTATCGGGAGGTCCATATGGGTCACACTTGATACACGAGTCTCCTTAAAACAGATGTTAATTGAGGGTGGAAATGTTAAAGTACCACAATTCCTTGTGATGTAGTCTGGAAACTGTTATTTGGATAGTTAACCCCAATAACATGAGCTGTAGTGCAGGAACCCTGGACGGTCCTGTTGGGGCTGAGAGCCAGGGGACCCCTGCATGTCCTGCAGCTTGCATGAAACCCCTGCATTCAGTATTGCCCAACCCTGGTTCCACCACAGGGGACAGCAAATTTCTTCCTAAAAATGCCTGCTTAATCTGTTCAGTGTTGTAAGGTGGGGTAAGAGCATTTTGTTTTCTGTTCTTTAGCTTCCAGTATTCCTGCCTGGCAGAAGCCCTAGGAATGAAATGTCTGGTGGTAGTCCATAGCAGAGGTTCAGGTTGGCATGTGGCTGGGAAGCAAACGTGACCTCTGTCCTGGCATGCGAGGGAGAGATGAGCTGGCTCAGTGCTTTCATTGTTGTGTCTGGCAGAGCCTGGGCAGAGGGGGGTGGCTGTGGGCAGGGATGCAGGAGGAATTGGTGAGGAGTGTGGCCAGCAGCCTTGTACAGTAATCAAACCCAGGAAGGAAGGACACATGAAGATGTGGGGCAGGCCATGATTGGGAAGGGACTTTGCATGCAAGGCATTGGAGGGGAGAAGGTCAGCTCTGCAGTAGTCCTGTGTGGGCTGAGAAACTGCTCCAGCCCAAGGAACACACAGATTTTGGCAGAAAAATGTTATGATGTGTTGGGACAGGAGGGAGCTAGCTGTCACCAGCCACCCAGGCATGCATCACTGGAGCAGAATGTATGTGGAAAGGACACTTTGTACTTGTGTGAAGCTCTGGGCAGCAGGGAAATGAGATTCAGGCCTTTTGTGGGGAAGGGATGCTGTTGTCCACAGGGGCTAGCAGATCTCTGGAAGCTAAGAGATGTCCTACTCCAACCTTGGCTCCCAGGTGACCCAGGCTGCTGCTTGTAAAGTGATGGTGGTGAAGATCTACAAGAATGATGTGGACCAAGAGGTGATTGTGCGTGAGATCAGCCTGCTGCAGAAGCTATCCCACCCCAACATCGTCAGGTGGGTACATCCTGTGGCCATGAGCAGTGGATGCTGGCAGGGCCTGGAGTTGGATTGGTATTTCTAAGGCAGTTCTGCAATGAGGGATTGAGATGAACCTTGATGGCTTCTTTTCTTCTTTTTTTTCTGGTGTGTTCTTCTGCTTAGGTACCTTGGGATATGCGTGAAGGATGACAAGCTCTACCCCATTCTGGAGGTAAAGGTTGGCAGGGGGGGATGGCAGATATCCTCTAATGCATATCTACACCTCTTCGACTCCTGCGCCCATGAATGGCTCTGGACTAGCAAGGTTGCCTCAGCCGTTGCTTCTGGTCCTTTCTGCCCCACAGCTGGTCACAGCTGGAGTAGGGCACAGTCACTGCAGGGGCATGAGATTCAGGCAGGATAGCCAAAAAATGTTTTGGGTTGGCTTGGTACCACCAAAGGGCCAGAATGGGTCAGCTGATGGGGAGAAGAGGAGCCAGGGATGGAGGACAGGAGTAGAAAGTAAAGCAGATGGAAAGAGGCAGGACCTCCAGGGTGGCTCTGGAAGGGTGGTGTGATCTAATGGAAAAGCCTGGGCTGGTACCGAGGAAGACTCACCTTGTTCCTACGCTGTTGGTGGCATAAGGCATTGACTGAATCGCTGCCATACTTTTTTGCCTCTAGTTCACTGCTGGTGAGTGAGGACCATGGCTGGCTTATACAGCTGTCCCTGCACTGGGGCAAAGCTCAGTATTTGCACCATGTCATACACAGGGTCCCCTGCGTGCAGTGGCTTTCCCAACCTCCATCCCGAAGGAGGGGCTCCTGGGTTGGCGAGGGAGGGTTCAGCACCTGGGAAGCTCCAGGGGAGCCTGTGCCCGGCCATACAGCCACCTGCTTTTTGTCTCTGTTCACAGTATGTGAATGGGGGTTGCCTGGAGGAGCTCCTGGCCAGCAAAGATGTTGCTTTGACGTGGAAGGAAAAAGTGGACTTAGCTTCTGACATCACCAGAGGCATGGTCTACCTGCATTCCAAGAATATCTACCATCGAGATCTCAACTCTAAGGTATGCAGCTGGAAAGGAGATGTCACCCTGGGACTACTGAAGGCGACTGTGTCAGGGGACCATACAGGGACCCCTTAGGACTGTAGACAGGAGGCCTCAGGCCTTGTGCTGGTCCTCTGCTCCATGCTAATCCCTCTGCAGGCAAGGATTTCTTGATAAAACCTGTCATTACATTGCATTCATCGCTTCCCAAGCAGGAGACCCAGATAGAGATAAAAATATATTGCTCCTAGTGCCATTGCTGTCAGAAAAGATGGAAATATCTGCAGGATCCACATGGCTTTCTTTGACTATGGTTGCAGAAGTTCTGCCAGATGTAGAGAATTCCTTTCCTGCTCACAGCAAGGAGGAAGCTGTTGCTAACAGGTCATGGGCTCTGGGAGCAAGTGCCATGTAAGGCATGTGCACAGAGCACCAGCAGAGCTCAGGAGATGTGTGTCTCTTCACTCAAGTGCAGGGAAGTTCTTCTTCCTTGATCCAGAGAGTCCAGGTTACTAATTGTTCTGGTGTATTGGCCCTCTGTCTGGGAGGCTGCTTTCCTCAGCATGGGCTCATGCTGCTTGTTGCGGGGCAGGAACAGCACTGAGGCTTTGCCATTCTCAGGTTTGACCAGGCCTGGGGACAGGCTTTGATGTGGCTCTTCCTCTGTCACTGGTATGGCAGTAGGAACATGCTGGGGCCGGGCCCTGTTGATCTCTTTTGGGCAATGCTGTCCAAACCTCGGATAGATCTGAAGCATGTCCATGATATCACAGGGAATGTGAGCTGAAGGATCACAGATAGGCACCAGCGTGGTCTATATCTGTGTCAGGTGACGTCGGAGGTTGGCTTGTGATTCATGGAAATGGAGCCTACAAGTCCTTGTGGTTGATGCTGGATGGTGATGTGTCTCTTAGAAGCTGTTTTTGTTGGTGCTCTGTGAGCTTTTTAAGAGAAACCTGAAATATTGATGAAGGTTGGCAGTGGGGAAGCCAGTCAAGTGTTACAGTCTTGAGAGACATCAGCACAGGAATGAGACTCCCCTTTGTAATCTCAGGCTGTTTACTTGGCTCAGTTACTAACCATGGAATCGCAAACACCAGGCAAGGACAAGGCAAGAGCTTGGTTTACTCTGACCACAGGTTTCTCGGCCAACGTGCTCTGAAGTCCGGTGAGATGTAATTTCCTATTTGGTAGTGACTGATGATCTGCTTGTGGAAAGTTAGTGACTGCTGAGGGTCACTGTCTGTCCCTTCCGTCTCACTGCAGTGGTTCAACCCTGAAAAACGTTCATTCTTCCCCAGGGAAACCTGGTAAACCTGCAGTAATGACGGCTGAATATACGGAAGAGATGAAGTGTGTACATGCTCACTTTAAATCTAGTTGTTAGTGAGAGCCATCTGGAGAAGACACCTGTCATTTCTGCTACTTCCCTGGGAGCAGATGCTGAGGAGGAAATCCTGGGGAACTCAAAAGGTTGAAAATGCTGGGATTTTGAGAAACCTTAAGGTAATTTTATAGGAATTCTTCCAGAAAGCTGCATTAGGCATGTGTGGCTGTGGGCAGTGAGAAGAATTGTGGCTGTGATCCTGCTCGCCTTCGGCTGAATGGTGAACAGGGTCAATATGCACATCTCGAGGTCATTTCGGACAAAAGGATGTGGATCATCATGCCTGTTGAACAGCTTCTTCAAAGGATTCTCCCAGCTTCATATGTGATCACTCCATCCCTAACGTGCCCCATGCACTCCATGTGTGCTGCCAGGATGCAGGTCTCTGGTGAGGGGAGAACCAGTAACAGCAAGGTGGGGCTGAGAGCCAGGGAGGTGCTGCTCAGTGAAGTGTCCAGGCCTTTCGTCACTGGGCATCTCATGCTGTGCCCCATGGGCTCATTTCAGAACTGCCTCATTCGAGTGACACCGCGGGGCCGCGAGGCACTGGTGACTGACTTCGGGCTGGCCAGGGAGGTGGTGGAGCTGCCTGTGAAGGATGTGGAGAGGAAGCTGTCTCTGGTAGGCTCTGCTTTCTGGATGGCTCCTGAGATGCTGCGGGGAGAGCCCTATGATCGGAAGGTATGGTACTGCTTCCCATCTCCTTGCGCATCCTCAGAGCTCCCGAGCAACTGTGGGGGATGTCTCCTCTACTTGCTGGTGTCATGTCCTAACAGCAGAAAACCCCTTCCCTCCTTCCCCAGGAAACATTGCCCTGCTACCTGGACCTTTGCTTAGTAATACTCTGCCTAGCAACTAGGAAGTTCCTTATCTGGCCTTGTTAAATTAAACTTTTAGGGAAGTGGATTGCTGCTGTGGACACAGTGAAACCTCTCTGAGGAAGATGTGTGATGAATTACAGCCTGATGAGCCTGTTGCAGGATCTGTGGGGGTGCCAGAGCTGTGGGAGAAGCACCAAATACATTGAACAAGAGCATGGGGCCAGGCTTTCTGAAAATGAGGCTGAACTTCAAGTGGGGCTATGATGTTTCTGGTTGGATTCAGAAGCCCAGAAGAAGTTCAGTGGTTTGCTGCCTCTCTCTCTAGTGGGCTTTTTTGATGGGCTTTTGCATAACTAATGGAAAGACCTTGTCGTTGGTACTCCCCTTTCTCATTTTTTGCTTCTGTGCATGCCTTGTCCCACCTCCCGCTCTCTCACCCCTCCTGCAGGTGGATGTGTTTTCCTTTGGCATTGTCCTCTGTGAAATCTTGGGCAGGATCCCAGCTGACCCCGAAGTGCTTCCCAGGACTCAGGTAATGGTGTTTTCTCCATGGTACCAGACTTTGGCTTCTCTCTGGACCAGAGAGACCTGTATACATGTGTATGTGTTCAAACTGAGGTTTCTCTCTAGAGGTTTTTCCATGAGAAAATCTGATCTCAAAATTTTCAGTACACAAGTGTTCAGTGCATCTATAGTTTTCAAAAACAATTTTAGATCAACAATATGAGATGAAATTTAAAGACCTTAATTCCAAATACTTCATTTCGCTTTGACATTTCAGCTTCTCCACTGAAGTGGCAGGTTAAATACAACTTCCATAAAAAATGTTTATTTTCAAATACATTACAGTTAATACACAGTTCATTTGGAAACAGTGGGCTCCCCTGAAAACGCGGCCTTTTTTGTTTCAACCCTTGCAACATTTCCCTTCCACAAAGTGGGAAGGCAAAGTTTATCCTGAAGAGCAATGAAAAACCCAACAGGAAAACAGCAAATTGCTGTTTTCCAAGGAGCAATGCAAAGAACCTGCAGTCACCAGAGGTTGTTCCATGAGTCTGTGAGACTGAACAGGAACTAACATTCCACCTGTGTTCACAAGGAGAGACTGAAGTCTGGAGGGACAAAGCTGTAGTTGTGGAAACAGCTGGCTGGACCCCTTCGACTCTCAGTTGCTGTTGGAAGACCAGATTACCTGCAGTTACTATCCTTGGCAGCCACTGTGCAGCACCTGGTGCTGGTTTCTCTGCTGGTTTCTGCTTTTGTGGCTGTTGTTGCCTTAGCCTGAGCTTTTCCAGGAGGACACATGCTGCCCTGCAGGGATAGCAGAAGGAGCAAGCAGAAGGATGCTGCAGTCATCCAGCTCTGCTAATGATTTGCCATCTGTGCAGTCCTGCCAGAGCTGATGTTGCCTGGTACTTTTGCAAAGCCATCAGTAAAATAGCTGTGATGGAGACCCTCAAAGCTTTAAACGATGACCATTTTGTGCTTTAACACCTTGAGAAGGATGAAGAGCTTTTAAATGACTTTACAGCTGAAGTCTTTTCTACATACTCTTCCCCCTTCCTCACAGGATTATGGCTTGGATGTTGCTGCCTTCCAAGGAATGATCAGCAAATGCCCCAAGCGGGTGATGGACCTTGCTGTTAGCTGCTGTCGGGTGAGATTCTTGCTAATTGTGTGAACCCTGGAGAGCTTGAACCTGCTGCTCTCAGTGCTAGCACAAAGGGCTCTGCCACTTGAGCTGTGAAGTGATGACATCTTCCTGGCTCAGTAGTATTTTTTCATCCAGCGTGCAATTTTGCCCCTAGAAGTGCTTAGTTTGTGTATTACAACCCGAAACATCCCATGGTCCTGCCTGTTCTCTTGCATGTTGACTGCAGAGTGGGAAGTGGGTTGGTGGTGATGTCCAGTCCCTCCTTAAGCCAGGCTGCAGGCAGAGGCATCTGGCTGATCCTTTCTGGAGGGCACTGCCTCGCTCTTACCAGCCTTGGTGTGACAGATACCATCAGAGCATAGTTCTCCAACCTTTCTTGCTTTGGCATAAAAGGTAACAGTGAAAGCTGGGGGGCCTCTTCATACTGCCCTAAGCTCCAGGAGCAAAGCAGAGAGAAAGCGAGGATTCAAGTTAGTCTCTGAAAGGAAGAGAAAGACAAAGGCAGTAATCAGGGAGAAAGCAGAGAAGCTGGGTGATCATAATGCACCTAATTGCTAGGAGCAAGGCAGCAAATGGAAGTAAATCCTGAGGACGTGTGAGTAATTTGTCCTGAATCAGAGGAGTGATTCATGTCAGCAACTGGCTTAGGTGTATGTATATTCAGATCTTGTATCTCTGATGGGGAGCTTCCTAATGCTTCTGCCAGAAATTACCCTTGGGGCTGTTCTCTGCCCTCATGTGATGTGCAGGTTCTGGTGCAGCTCCCCAAGCTGGCATTGCAGGGTTGGGTACAAAGGACAGCCCCAGGATGGCACCAAGAGGGTGCCCTGGGCTGTATCCCTTACTTTGGGTACATCCCGATGGCACTGGGAAGGCTGGGGGATCAGAGCCCTCAGAGAATGAGCTGCATCAGGGAGACAAGACAGTTAGATCCTGAGCGTCACAAAAAAAGTTCAGGGAATGATACATCTTCTTCCTGATACCAGCCTGCAGCCTTTCCCTGCACAGTGCCTGCCCCTGCACTGTTAGGGTGGACTTTGGGATGAGCAGTTCCCACACCCCGTCCAGGTTGGGGTGTGTCAGGCTGGTTTTCAGCATCTCGCTGCCTTTGCTTGAGCTGTGCCACACCATAGGACCTGTCCTGCGGCTCCCCACTGGACAGCTTCAAGCTGTCCCAGCTTGAACTGAACCTGGCCTTGGATGTTAAAAACAACAAAAAGAAATTCTATAAATACATTAGCAGCAAGAGGAGGACTCGGGACAGCCTCCATCATCCACTATTGGATATGGGAGGCAATGTAGTGACAAAGGATGAGGAGAAGGCTGAGGTACTGAATGCCTTTTTTGCCTCAGTCTTCAGTAATGGAGTAGAGTGTCCCCTGAGTACCCAGCCCCCTGAACTGGTAGATAAGGGCAGGGAGCAGAATGAAGCCCCTGTCATCCAGAAGGAAGAGGTGAGGGACCTGCTCCAGCACCTAGACACAAACAAGTCTATGGGCCCAGATGGAATCCACCCGAAGGTACTGAGGGAGCTGGCAGAAGTGCTTGTGGAGCCACTCTCCATCATTTACCAGCAGTCCTGGCAAAATGGGGAGGTCCCAGCCGACTGGCGTCTAGCAAATGTGACGCCCATCCACAAGAAGGGTGGGAAGGATGATCTGGGGAACTACAGGCCTGTCAGTCTGACCTCGGTGCCTGGGAAGGCCATGGAACAGATCATCCTGAGTGCCATTATGCAGCGCATGAAGGACGCTCAGGTGTTCAGACCCAGCCAGCACGGGTTCATGAGGGGCAGGTCCTGCTCGACAAACCTGATCTCCTTCTATGACAAAGTAACCTGCTTGTTGGATGAAGGAAAGGCTGTGGATGTTGTTTACCTGGACTTTAGCAAGGCCTTTGATACAGTCTCCCACAGTATCTTGGAGAAACTGGCTGCTCATGGCTTAGATGAGTATACTCTCTGCTGGGTTAAAAACTGGCTGGAGGGCCGGGCCCAGAGAGTGGTGGTAAATGGAGTTAAATCCAGTTGGCAGCTGGTCACAAGTGGTGTCCCACAGGGTTTGCTACTGGGACCCATTCTCTTTAATATCTTTATCAATGATCTGGACGAGGGGATCGAGTGCACCCTCAGTAAGTTCGCAGACGACACCAAGCTGGGTGGCAGTGTCGACCTGCTGGAGGGTAGAGAGGCTTTGCAGAGAGATCTGGACAGGCTGGATCGATGGGCTGAGACCAACAGGATGAGGTTCAACAAGGCCAAGTGCCGAGTCCTGCACTTAGGTCACAACAACCCCCTGCAGCGCTACAGGCTGGGGGCAGAGTGGCTGGAGCTGCCTGGCAGAAAAGGACCTGGGGGTGTTGGTCGACTGTCGGCTGAACATGAGCCAGCAGTGTGCCCAGGTGGCCAAGAAGGCCAATAGTATCCTGGCCTGTATCAGAAACAGCGTGGACCCGAGAGGTGAACAACTCCCTGAAAGGAGGGTGTAGCCAGGGGGAGGTCGGTCTCATCTCCCAAGTCCCAGGAGATAGGACAAGGGGAAACGGCCTCAAGTTGCACCAGGGGAGGTTTAGATTGGATATTAGGAAACATTTCTTCACAGAAAGGGTTATCCAGCATTGGAATAGGATGCCCAGGGAAGTGGTTGAGGCACCATCCCTGGAGGTGTTCAAAAGACGGGTTGACATGGTCCTCAGGAATATGGTTTAGTGGTGTGTGTGTTGTGTGGTTGGTTGTTTGGTTTTGTTGTTTTGTTTTTGGGGTTTTTTTTGGCAGAGTTAGGTTGATGGTTGGACTAGATGATCTTTAAGGTCCCTTCCAACCTAGACAATTCTATGATTCCTAGTTTGCAGCAGCCTGGACATGAATCACCAGATGCTGGGTGATGCCAGAAGGCTCCACCAGCAGGTGTGTGACACAGACCAATGCTAACGGTGGATGGATGCTGTTGGCCAGCTTTGTGGGACCCAACAGAGCTGCTGCAGAGTACCCACCTCCTGTCCAGGATGTTCTCTTCAGCTTTCCCTTCTTGTTCCAGGTGGAAGCATTTAAGAGGCCATCTTTCTCTGAAATCCTGGATGAGTTGGAGGATGTCACGGAGAGCCTGGAGCCTAGGAGGGACAATCAGCTTTCAAGCTGAGCTGCCTGCCTCCTGTGAGGCTTGGCAGAGAATTGCCCAAACTGTAAATTAACTATCTGGGGGGTCAGGAGTGAAGAAGGAAGGTGGGAAGGGAAGAGCTAAGTGATGTGCTGGTGTTTATTTAATTGTCTCTTTATTTAATAGTCTCAGTCTCTAATTTCTTGTATAGAAAACATGGTTAAAAACGGAGAAGGGACTTAGTGAGCATATATTTTTTCCTATTTGAGGTTTTTAACAGATGTAATTCGGACACTGAGCAGTCTTTGTCTGTTTGCTTGTCAAAGGCAAACAGAAACATCATCCTCTCCTGCTTTCTCGTACCCCCTGGACCCAGGGCCTTTCCCTTCTCCATCCCCTTGGCGAATTGCCTCTCAGAGGACAGGGGTCTGTGCGGTGTGAAGGAGAACGGTTTTGGGGTGCTTGGTGAGCTTCAGAGTCGCCTTATATTTCAAAGCCTTAAAGCAGCCTTGCAGGAACAGGTATGCTCTGTAATGTCTCTGGCTGGGTCTCCTGGCATTGTGCTCAGGGTGCATGCAAGCATGGAGGCATCTTGTGAGGTTTTTGAGAGTCAGCTGGGGTCACCCACAGGGTGCCAACCTGCAACCAGCTGAGATGATGGGGAGGGTGTGCCTTATCGAGATACGAACTAACCAATATCTCCTCTCAGAAGAGCTTTGCCAGACACAAGTCCCAGCATCACAACAGTCTGGATTTCTCCTCACTGCCATTGACTGGGGTTCC